TTCCTTACCTGGGATCTCCGGATGTAATTGAGGAAAACGAGGTACTGCATGAAGAAACACTTAACAACTTTAATGCACAGTTAGATGCTTTGCAAATAGAAATGGCAAAACTTCTTACTGAAAATGGATTTCCAGCCGTGGCTCAACTTGACGAACAAGAACCTGAAAACCCTAGCATCGAAGATTTAAAGTACTGGGTAATCTCTAATGATACCACTATCAATCATGGTCTAAGTCATAATCCCAATGAACCCACATATTTCTGGTGGCCAATCGAGATCCAAAGCCCAGCATACATCTACAACGAAGACAATAAACAAAAGGTAAGAAATGTACTTCGATGTATCGACTCAGTTTATAGGACTAATTGTGATTTGAGCGCAGACATTCATGTTCATATCGGTAACGAGCAGAAAGGATTAGATGCTCGCACAGTTAGAAACTTTATGGCTTTCGTTTACACTTTTGAAAATCAAATCGCAACCATTCATCCTCCTCATTACATGACACAGAGGGCGTTTTCCAAGCCGGTAAGAACACATAGCCTTCTTGCGCAAGCAGCGCGAGATTATCGAGCTAAGATAGAGAAACTGGGGGCAGAAGAAAGTTTGCGGGAATTCGACGAAGATTTCATCATAGACAATATTCTGGAAAGAGATACAGTTGACGATCTTGTGAAATTATTATCAAGTCCAGAACTAGAGGAAGATCGCCTATACAATAGACTCACATATTCCATCTGTAACCTCCGAACGGATGCAGAAAAGGTAAAGAAGACAATCGAATTCAGACAGCATAAGTCAACTTTCGACGACGAAGAAGTTTATCACTGGATAACTGTTTGCGCATCCTTAGTCCATTTTGCAAGTACCGTAGATGAAGAAGTGTTGAGGAAATTCTGCAAAGAACATTTCTACAAGACAGTCGACGAATTTTCAATAATCGAAGTCCTCATAGCTCTCGGGCGCCCAGCACAAGCTTATTACTACGGTATAAGGCTCTTTGCTAGGAAAGACGAACGGGCTGAAGAAGAACGTAAGCTACGTAAGGAAATAGAGGACGAGAACCGCAAGAAAGAACAAGAGAGAGAGCACAGGAGAAATCTTGAGGAGCGACGCAGGCAAGAGGAGGAAGACCTCCAGAAAGAGGAAAAAAGACTCGAGCAAGAAGAGAAGAAACGTCAGCAAGAAGAAGAAGAGGAGAAGAGGTTGGAAGAGCTATTGAAGAGAATCGGAAAGGGAGACCTCTAGTGAGAGGTGATCACAGAAATACCACTAATTCCTTCTCGAAGGATTCTTGGTAAGCACTGGATCCCGGATCATTTATAAGTTCAAATCCTTTCCTTCAGGTCCCCTTCTAACACCTTCTCTCCCTTTCCACTTCCCATATGTATGAACCCCTTTAACTATCAGGTTCTATCCGTGTAAGTAAACCTTAATTTAATCTATTTTCGACAACCAATTTTCATTTTTATATTGTTCGCTTGACATGATTGATGTGAAATTTGCAACGTGAATCAACCTCCCTAACCCCTTACAGTCCACAAAAAAGAACCCAATTCACACAAATCCAATCCAAATCTAACAAAAAAAAGTTCAATAAAACCACATCATGAACCATAAACTATAAACCACAATACCAACACTCCTACATACCATGCCGGATCATCACCTCTGTCACAAGCCCCCCTAACAATTCTCCCAAACCACTCAACAATTCCCATCGCCATTTACCCCTCCCTTCCACAAATCCCTCGATTCCTCAAGGTAAACCCGCCTGATAATAATCCTGCAACAAGAGTCCGCTCTCAGTACAATACCCCACATCCGCCTTCCCCCCATGCGCAAGCGCACATTTGAATCCATCACAGCATGATTCGCCCGTTTTGTGACAGACGTCACCTTTGGCGATGCAGATTTTGCGTTGCTGGGGGTAGGGGATGTTAGTGAAGGTTTCTTTGGAAGGAAGAGGGATCGAGTGTCATTGAAGGGAGGGGATGAAATAGGAGAGAAAGGAGGAGGGGGAAGAGGGGTGATATTAAGGGATGGAAACGTACAGAAAGCGATCCGTCAATTGCAAACACTATAGTTGAGAAAGCGAGGATGGCAGTGATGGTTGAAGGAAATAGATACATGATAGCGAAGTGATTTGAGGGGATTGTATCTTGGTAAAATTGAATTTGCTTTCGCTTTTGGTTTAATCGTAGATTTACGACTCTGTATAATGGATTTGTTTGAGGACTGATATGGTGTTGAATATGGATCAATGAATAGCGAGAATAAAAGGGAGAGTCTTGAATGAAAGTTTAATCGCCTCATGTATGAAGGAGAGGAATGTGTATCCACGCCCATGCCATGTCATCCCTTCTCTTCCATTCCAATCTTAATCTACATTCCACATTTCGATCAAGTTTTTTATTTCTCCAGTAACTAATAGTAGAAAAATGCAGCAGAAAAACTGGTACCATAGAATTCTACCACGCCAGCATATCAAGCTTCGAACATAAACAAAAAGACAACCCCTTTTCCCCTTCCCCCCTCCCTCCCACCACTCAATATCCTCCAAGGATTTTACACTCTAAACACACCACATCACAAACCAAGATTCATTGAAACTAAGCACCTTCTCAAGGCTTCTCTATTACAAATCTCCACATCCATGCCAATATCGATTGGCTATGCAAAAAGACGATTCCGCTATGAAATACATAAGAATCCAGCTGTGAATTATCCGTCCCTTTCTTGCCACTTCTCCTCGTCCATTCACAAACATTGTGATACCCAATTTAATGATTCCAATTCTACAACAATATGACAAACTATGCTTGCTATATAATAAACCACGGTTCTTACTTCTGGAAATATCCCTTCACAAAACACAAAACACAAAATACTTCGATTCTATGTAGGTATTCACAAGTAGGTTATAATGAAGACTAATGATTATTGCAAGACTCGCTATGAATAAGATACAAAATTAAACGTCTCTGGTACACTTCAAGTAAAAGAATTCGCACATTCGAATTCTTCCAAGTATTATGGTCGCCATCTTTCTCCCTAACTCCATTCTCATGTCAACTTTCCTAACCGTGACCGAGATTTTCGAATAGCACTCAACATATCTTTGGCTTTATCTTAACGTTCCGCTACGCTAGTAGAATTCATTGCCATCAACTTTTCTACTAGAGTCCCCCAATTTGTTGTCTTGAAGTACTCTTGGAGGCTATGGCCTTGTTTTGATAATTATTGTGCGCAGTAAGCTTGGGAAAGTAGCATCAGGCCAGCTTGTGTGCTTCAGAGTTATCTCGATAGAAATATCAAGGATATCCATAGTCAAAAGTAGTCGAGGACTTCCTCAGAGAAGAGGTATGAGACTGATGATTGTCATTATCGCTGCTTTTTGACCGAAGTTTGTAGTTGAAACAACATGGAGAGACGTACAGACGACGATGTTAGCGACATGAAATATACATGTTAACCTTTAAATTATTACCAGCATAACCGCTACTAGATTGTCCGACTATGGTTCATTGCCCTAAAAATTTTGAAGTATATCAAAGTTACAATACTTCATCTTCTAAATTTTCTAGATAACATGACAGCATTCGAGCTCTTTTGGGAAAACTACTCAACCCCCACCCATCCCCCAGCGAAATTCGACCTCGAAAAATTCTCAGAACACCAGAATCAGCACAAAGACGTCATCTCACCAACGACGCCGCTATATATACCTTTTTAAAAGCGGCTACTTCATTAACAATGGAATGTACTACATATGTACACATTATCTCAAAGGGAGGAACAAATCCTTTACACTCATTCGTGAATCCCCAAATGAACGGTCGAATGCGGGGTCGTGGCTTCCTAATATTGAAAAAGTCATGAGTACACTTAAATTTTGTAATAAATGACTCGGATTTTGAACTCAATCGACTAGGATATGATTCATCACACTGGTCGCAGTGAATTAAATCAATTTCTCCCTCAATGTTCACGGTAAGCACAAGGTTCAAGGCCGATGTCCTTCTCACCTCGGGAAGAAATTACCACATCTGTATCACACAAGTGAGCACACGTGACCATCACCTTCTATCCTATCACACCCAGATCCGACTTGACAAGTTACTATTGAAGTATCATAGTGGTCAAACCGGCATACATCCGAGTATTTTGCTGGTGCGAATTCGGAGTACCCCTAATTGCATCAGAAGTAGGGCCCAGACTTCTGGATGGTAGGACGAACGAAATGGTCAGACAGTCTCAAGAATGAAGCTACGTCTAGAAATGGAATAATGGATGATCCCAGGCGAGAGATGATTGTGTTCATTCTAGATGGTTCTTCAAGAAACCTTTCTCTACTTCTTGAGATATAAATAACAATGTGGCATTCTGTACTCGGTAAGTCATTGCCCCATTGGCATCCTGATAAGGTCGGTATGTCAGACTTGATGCTACGCCGTAATCTGCGGGGTACAGCTCAACATCCAATTCGTTAGACAGAAGGATTAGTTACAAATATTGTCAGCCCAATCGTATAAAGCTCTGCCAGCCCAACCCCCCTTTAATGTCGTTTGCGGCTGCCGAGTTAGCATCGATTCGGATCCCTTTCACCTCCGTATACTCACGCTTCCTTCCAAGTCACTAGCTGTTCTCTTAAGCTAATTAGGCGTATCCAAGATTTGGAGCCGGCTTTCAGGAGATCAAATTCGTATCCTTGACATTCTTCCCCACGGCAGCACTGACGATGCATTACCTATCTGCTGCGAAATCACCGTTGTGGCTCTTTCGAACAAGCCACAATACGATGCCGTATCCTACTGCTGGGGCGAATCTAATGAAACAGTAGATATTGAGGTGGCCGGCAACCCTCGATCTATTACTACCAACTTGCATGCTGCTCTTCGCCATCTCCGGCTACTAGATAGGTAGCGGTCGGTGTGGATTGATCAGCTCTGTATCAAACAAGATGACAACGAGGAAAAACTATCACAGGTCCACTTGATGTATAATGTCTACTCACAGTGTAGTCGCTGTCTAGCCTGGTTGGGGGAGATTGACCCGGAATTCTCGGTGGCAGATGCCAAGGCTGCCCTGGACCTGATCCTTTTTCTCTCAGATAAAGACGAAAAATCACCCATTTCAAATTCCATTTCTTCTGCAGACACTCCCACGTTCAAAGCATATCTCCGGGCCTTGGCATCCGTTGGCTACGCTAAGAACCCGTGGTGGACGCGCATATGGACGGTACAGGAGGCGATCCTCCCGAGAGAGATACTATTCCACTGGGGTCCTCTGCAGGTCCCGTGGGGCAGGGTCGGCGGTGCTCTCAATTTCCCCAGATACAAGTGGTTGCTGGTACGGCCACTGTCCTATCAACACGGCATATTTAAGACTTGGCCACTTACCCACTATGTGCAAACCCAATATGCCATTATTATCTGGATCCATAATGCACATGTAAGGAGAGATTCTGCGTTCGATGCCGCCATCCGATGGCGGGGTCGCCAAGCAACCGTGCCACACGACAAAGTATTTGGCCTTCGTGGACTCTGGGATCCCAATGTTGAGATGCCTAACACTGACAAATGCAGCTACGAGACAAGCGTAGCAGAACTATACAGCGCGTTTACTATTGACATACTCCTCGACGAAAACAGCCTAGCACTGCTAGCACTTGACCCACGTGTCGAGCGCGGCAAGCGGACGAGGGATATACCGAACTGGGCGACCGACATGAATGACTCTGTGGAGTATGGCGTCGACAGGTATTACCGGAGTTGGGGCGACAAACAGATCTATAATGCCTGTGGAGAAAACCGTCTAGATAAGCAAGCCCTCACAGATGCAACAGCGGACCCAAACCACCATTTCAATGTGGACCCAAACCACCATTTCAATGTGCTAGGGTTAACGGGCATCATGATAGATACCGTAGATGTCTTGGCCCCCGTCAGGCTAACCAAGGGAAACTTCGAAACCATACCCGATGTGGTTATCTCTCAGACGCTTCGGGATTGGATGGATCTCGCACGCAGCCGTAACCGAACGGGTAACTTCAGCGACGAGGCTTTTCACAGGCTCGTGATCGGCGGTGCCATGCGAGATAGCGAACAGGAGTTCAAAAAGACGGCCCAACGCGGATGACTTGCGTTGGGTGGCCGACTTTGTTCGGGATCAAACCAGATACAAAGAATGGCTGGACGATAAGATGATGTGCGCGCAGGTGCAAAACCAGAAGTTTTTTGTGACAAAGGGTGGCATGATGGGATTGGGCCACCTAGACACCGAGCCTGGGGATGAGGTATGGGTATTTGACGGTGGCAATTTTCTGTTTCTAGTCAAAAGACAGGAACGAGAGAATGTGTACGACTATGACTTTGTGGGTTGCTGTTACGTCCAGGGCATTATGTTCGGAGAAGCCTACGCTTGTGAAAGCCAAATACCTCCCAAGCATACACTTCGGATACATTAAGGAAAGGCTGAAAATGACACACACCCCTTCGTTCTTCGCTTCTCTATTTCGTATAACTATACGATTTTAAAACCAAGAACCCTGTTTTATTACTTATTTATATGTCAGAGGCAGGCCACTACATAACCTTAAGCCTCACCCGTCATCATTAACCTGAAGTCCCTCTTCTCTAGTAACTGCGGAGACAGACAGTCGATGGTTTCTTCATCCACCAACGTAATGACCAGTCATCCATCCAATTCTAGGAACAATACCACGGTATTATTACTCCAAATTGTCAATATGATGGCCTCCGCTATACAACCTACATCGTCTCAGACAGAAAATACCAGACTACACATCATCTACAATCTACTCCCCAACAATCTTTCCAATTTCAATCACCAATAAAAATAACAGAAAGGAAATTTGTCAGCTAACGTCGCTAATTCATATATCCCTTCGAGGGGAATATTCCACAAAAACGCGGATTATTATAGCTCTTTCTTGATACTAGACTCAGAAAACGCATATGGTACTATCTATTCGTTATCATTAAGAGAATGTATTATATTTAAGAAGATTGATAAATATATCGATGTTTCAGATATAAATACTTCTATATATTCATTTATTACTATGAATCAGTATTATCTACTTTCACGCCACTAAAAGTCAATTTATTCACTTTCAAGGCGCTAATATCGATCTAAATTTACTCTTACACTACTTAGATTCTAGTCTATAATATTAGATTCTAGCTTTCGTTTATAGAGTTAAGCTTTCAGCTATAGATTCACCTTCTAACCCTACATTCTAACCCTATATTCTAGCTCTCCATCATCAACTCGAGTTTCAGATATTGAATTTTTCCGATTCAAATATCATAGATTCTACGATAGCTTCAAATGATATAGATTCTAAATTAGAAACATAGCTTCTCGTTATTATAGACTCTAGGTAGTACAAGATCACATTTATATTATTTTTAGTAATATACGTAATATTTTGAACTTGAATAGTATGAAAATAATTTATTGAAATAGATTTTATAGTATACTTATACTTGGAAATATCGTTTTATTATATAGAATAACAACTTATACTTTATTTGAGAGTTGATTATACGTGAATAGAGGGGAATATATGTAAGTTTTTTAGAGAAAACATATATTATATAGCAAATTACTTTCATATATCTCAAAAGCAATATAATTACTTTTATACTCCTTAAATTCTATAACAAAGATTATAATATCTTTCATAGAAGAAAATATTATATCTTACTATTATCCTCTAACTCATTAACTCATTAACTCTTCTACTCAACTCATGCTCATAGAAAATATTATTTTTAGGGTATAGAAAGAATAAGTAAAATAAATACTTTTTATTTTAATTATATTCTTATTCTTAGTCTTTTATAGTATTTCTTTATTATCATAATATACTACATCATCACATTCAGTATTCCAACTCCTCAACTCCTATACTCCTATACTCCTATACTCCTATACTCCTATACTCCTATACTCCTATACTCCTATACTCCTATACTCCTATACTCCTATACTCCTATACTCTTATTCTCATTTCTCAAAATTCGCTCAAAATCTACTCAAAATCCATTCAAAAATCATTCAAAAATCCATCATCTACCGTACACATATAACCTACACCAACCCACACACACATATATACATAAATAAATCTCTCTAACCATAAATAATATAAATAACATAAATAGAACTCCAGCCCAGCCCAGTCCAGCCCAGCCCAAAGATCTCTCTCTCTCTCTATCCCTTTCTTTAAGGCCTAGCTCTACTCTCTTATGGAATATTACTCTTATTTTTGATAGACTAGATTGTATATACATATATACATATACACATATATATAATAAACCTCCAACTTGAAGCCAGCCCCTACTCTAATTTACTAATTTACTAATCTATTAATCTATCAATCTATCCTCCGATTACCTCCCCTCCCCTCGCCTCCCTAGCCGAATTAAGATTCAATATAAACCACCTACTATATTTATATCTATATCTATCATATCTACTATATCTACTATATCTACTATATCTACTATATCTACTATATCTACTATAATCTACTATATCTACTATATCTACTATAGCTACACCACCTACTCACTCACTCACTAACTCACTCAATACCATCACAACCTTCAAATTCCAATTCCAATTCCAATTCCAATTCCGCGAAATTCTATTGATCGATTTTTATTTTCATTTCTCTTCATCCCATTCCCACTCACACTCACACTCACATTGCAATTCCCACTCACACTCACAAACTCATCTTTCTCCCTCTCCTCTCCCTCTCCCCAAAGTATCTCCTTCCCTCCCCAATCTCTCAAAGCTAAACTCATAATCCTCCTCCTCCACCTCCTCCCACTCCTCCTCCTCCCACTCCTCCTCCCACTCCTCCTCCCACTCCTCACAAACACAAATCTACATTCATCCAACAAATCCCACAAATTCAACTTCCCAACTTCCCAACTTCCCAACTTCCCAACTTCCCAACTTCCCAACTTCCCAACTTCCCAACTTCCCAACTTGTCACGGGGTGACACTAAGCCCTTTCTGTCCTGTCCTGTCCTGCTATATATGTGAGAGTAAGGTAGAACTTCCAGTTCTACCTCCTAGTCTTTTGGGCGTTTAGCTCAGCGGTAAAGCTTCTGAATACTCCCAGAAGTGATCCCGTGACATTAGGTAGAACTACCCTTGGTTATATGTGGAGCTGTGCGGGGGGCCTACTTATAGCTTACAGGCCATTAGTCTGAGGGCTAGCATATATAGATCCTGTCTGCCTGTCTGAATGCCTAAGGCATTAGAATCCAGAATCCTGAATCCTGAAACCTCCTAGTAGGTAATGGTATGGAGACCATACCTTAAGGAGGGGGATGATGTCACGGGGTAACACTAAGCCCTTTCTGTCCTGTCCTGTCCTGCTATATATGTGAGAGTAAGGTAGAACTTCCAGTTCTACCTCCTAGTCTTTTGGCGTTTAGCTCAGCGGTAAAGCTTCTGAATACTCCCAGAAGTGATCCCGTGACACAACTTCCCAACTTCCCAACTTCCCACCCCCATCTCCATCTCCATCTCCACCAATAACCCCCCCCCCCCCCCTCCTCCCTCTCAAAAACACTATACTCAAGAATATATAAACAATGTAAGAATACTACAGTACCTAGTAAAAGTAAAAGCAAAAGCAAAAGTAAAAGTAAAACTACACGAATTTCCTTTACAAAAAAGATAAAAATAAAAAATAAAGAATAAGAATATATTATACTATATTTAATTCTTCCAAATATTTCATCCGTATCTCAGGATTAATATAAAAAGGAATAAATTAAACTGAGAGTTTTATCTACGATATATAAGATACATTTATAGATTTTCTTACAAGATATAAAAATAAATTTCTACAACCCAAAAACATCTACACCCCCAAAATACAACCAACTCCTACTAGACCGCTAAACAATACACAGAACACACCAACTCGGGACGATATCAAAAATGATAAAATTCGATGCAAATCGATGAATAAGGATACGATCATACGTTTCGATTAATGAATACGTTCGTTCCTATTAATGAATCTCAAGTCCTTGTTATCGTATTACTTGATATATCAATATTCCACTTGTATACAACATGATACAGCAAAACAACAATCACAAATCCAATTTAAAAATTCAGTCTCAAGAAATATTTTTCTGAAAGGAAATTCGTGAAGATAGAACCAACGTGAAGTTTCTAAGTAGGGGGGAGGGAGGGAGGGAGGAGGGTATTCCAAACCCCGATATAATCTTCCGAATGCAAGTCTGATCCCATCGATACATACTCTCTTCTTATTTTCTCATTCAGTATTTGTAATGCAGATATTGGTATCAAGTTATTTGTTCTCACATAACGATTCATGATACACATGCTGAGCTTGGGGTCTAGAAAGCAAGTACCGAAGTCTGTGCTGAAGAAGGTATGTTTTAAATGCGGGAAATTTCTGGGAAGAGGGACTAACTAAGATGATGCGATCAGGGACTGGTAGAGTTTGGATGTTGGTAATCTAGAATTGAAGATCTTCATTAATCTTCACAATGACGAGAATCCATCTTGGGATCTGGGATGCGGGAGAATGTATATGAAGGTTTGGAAGAAATCGAATCCATCATGGTCTACCAGTACTCCACTCAACGAAATATCGGAAAGAAGCAGAATGTTTCCTCGTCGTGATATCCAAGCATCATTGGATGTGAAAGGTGGGTAGGTACTGCTTTACATCTTTCAATCTTCGTGGATGCGATTGGAGTCTAGAAGACCAATGACCCATGTAAATATAAATGAAACACACGTGACGAAATCCACGAGTTTGAAAAGAGAAGTTTGCATTGCATGAATGAAGGTCAAGACTATTTGTTTCACGGGAGTATTATCCGTTCCACTTGGGAGGATGACGACTCACGGGGATTGAATTGAATCTGTTGTTGGTTGGTTATATGGAAGATGGATGTATTTTCACACTTGTGAAAATTATGCGTGTGAAGTTAGTCGTACTTCATTGACGCAATACTGATACTTTGATGGATTGGATTTAAATCATGATCTTCGTATTCTGTGGATTTTCCAAACCCTAGCAAGGTAATGCGATGCAGTAGATG